CCCAGTATGTGACACAGGTGTGGGATCCTGTCCTGTGTCCCAGTACAGAGTATGGATGAGGGATCATGTCCTGTGTCCCAGTATGTGACACAGGTGTGGGATCCTGTCCTGTGTCCCAGTACAGAGTATGGATGAGGGATCATGTCCTGTGTCCTGGTATGTGACACAGGTGTGGGATCACGTCCTGTGTCCCTGTGGGAAGGCTGCATCCACCCTGAGGATAGGGAGGCTTGAAGGATCCCTTTGGATGTGTTCATTCCAGAATGCCTTTTGGCTCCTCCCCTCGGCCTTGGGAATGACTCCAGTGGTCTGTGCTGCCCTTGCCAGGGCTTTTTCCCTGAACTGGGTCTTTAGAGTGTCGAGGTTTCCATAGGAAGCAGAAGGTCCCTGTCAAGGGTTCTGGGGGGGGGGGGAGAGAGGAGGAAACCAAAGTGTCCCTTGGGTCACAGGCTGTGGGATGGGATTTGAACTGTTGCCAAAATGTCTCAGCTGCCTCTCTTTTCTCCACACAACAGTTCCCACCCATGGCAGAGCAGGGGAGGCTGGAGAAGGAAGCTGCCTCCCCCCTCGGGCAGTTCGAGAGGGTGAGGAAGAAGAGGGCAGCTGCTGTGGCAGGAGTGGCAGCTGCCTTGTCCCCACAGGGAGAGGAGACCATGAAAACCCCTTCCCCTCTTGGCAGGAAGCCAAAGCCAAAGTAAGAGTTTGGAAAAGCCAGAGAGGATTGAGGAGGTGGGAGGGAAAAGTGGAGCCCTGAGCTGGATATGGCCCCTTGGATTTCCCCAGAGTATCCCAGGATAACCCACGATGTCCAGGGTCTTGTGGGCCTGGAGCTTGTCCTGTGTTGAACGGGGTGCTGGGGCCAAAGGCAGTGTGGGCACAGAGGCAGGAGGGGGTAGGGACAGGGACAGGGAGAGGGACAAGGGGACAGGGGGACAGTGACAGGGAAATGGTCAGGGACAGGGGCAGGGACAGGGATGGGGACAGGGGCAGGAGTGGGAAGGGACAGGGGCAGGGACAGGGAGAGGGAAAGAGACTGGGACAGGGGCAGTGACAGAGACAGGGACAGGAGCAGGACAGGGACAGGGACAGAGACAGGACAGGGACAGAGACAGGGACAGGACAGGGACAGGGGCTGGGACAGGGGCAGGGGCTGGGACAGCAGCAGGGACAGAGATAGGGGCAGGACAGGGACAGGGGCTGGGACAGGAGCAGGAGCAGGAGAGGGCAGAGACAGGGAGAGGGGCTGGGACAGGGACGGGGGCAGGAGCATGAGCAGGGACAGGGACAAGAATGGTCAGAGACAGGGACAGGGGCAGGAGAGGGCAGGGGCTGGGACAGGGACAGGAATGGGCAGGGACAGGGGCAGGGACAGGGAGAGAGGCAGTGGCAGGGGCAGGACAGGGACAGGAATGGGCAGGGACGGGGACAGGAGAAGGCAGGGACAGGGTCAGGAGAAGGCAGGGACAGGGTCAGGGGCTGGGACAGGAGCAGGGGAAGGGACAGGGACAGAGGCAGGGGCAGGAGCAGGAGCAGAGACAGGCAAAGGAATGGGCAGGGGCTGTGCTAGGCAGGGTCTCAGCCAGGGAGCAAGAGGGACTCTGCCCATGTCCTTGCAGGACACCACGAGCAAAGCAGGTCCTGGCAAACCTGGAGTCGTTCCGGGTGTCCCGGGAGCAGTGTATGAAGGCCCTGCAGATCAACAAGCTGAGGAAATGGTCCCAAGACAGTTCCTCTGGTGGGTATTCCCAGGCACGGGAGGTATTTTCCCCCAGGAAGGATGTCCTGTCCTGCTGGATGGGTGAAAAGAGAGCAGGGGGTTCTGGGGCTGTGCCCCTGAGCCAGACCTGCCCTTCAGCCCCAGGGCTGTGGCCACAGGCACAGCCAGGCCAGCTGGGGACACAGGCGGGTTCCTCTGGGGTTTGGTCTGGCCAGGTCTTGGCACCTTGGCAGGGCAAGGCTCTCTTGTACACCTCAGAACCCTCCAGGACCAGGCCTGGTGAGCAGAAGGTCTCTGCTCTCCTCTCTGCAACTGCAGCTGAACAGTTTATGATTCCCCCTTAGCTTGGTGAAGCAGAAGGAGCTCCATGACCCCGGAGAAGAGCAGAAGTGGGACGTGGGCTCAGGGCAGCCACAGTGCACCAGGAAAAACGGAATAAAGGAATCCCTCACCTGGGTGTGTGAGTTGCTTCTGTGCACCAGGGAACAACAGTGTTTGGTGACCCAAGTGTCACTGCTGGACACGGATTGACATGGAAGGGACCACAGTGAGTCTCTTGGTCCCACTTCCCTGCTCCACCCCAGAGTACGTGGAACAGGATTGTGTCCAAAGTGTTCTGTAATATCTCCAGAGAGGAGACTCCACACTCTCTCTGGACAATCCATTCAGTGCTCAGCCACTGCATAGCAAAGAATTTCTTCCTCAGCTGGAACTTCCTGGGCATCAGTTCCCAGCCGTTCCTCCTGTCCCATTGCCAGGCCCCACCGAGCACAGCCTGGTCCATCCTTTGACCAACCTCTTGGGTTAGGATTAGGTTTAACACTGTGATTAGGGGTTAGGGTGTCAGGGCTGGTGTTCAGGTTAGGGATTATTTTTGGGCGTTAGGGTTCGGTTTAGTGTATTACAGTCAGGATTAGGATTATTTTAGGGTTAGGTTTAGTAGTTAGTGTTAGCATTAGGTTCAGAGATAGGTATTAGGTTTAGGTTTAGTGGCAGTATTAGAGTTATGGTGGGTTAACACAATTAGGGTTGGGTTTAGCATTAGGGCCAGAGTTTGGATTATATTTTTCATTAGGGTTAAGGGTCAGGTTTAGTTCTTAGGCTCAGAGTTAGGAACTAGGTTTAGGGTTAGAAATTAGGTTTAGGGTTAATGGTGGGGTTAGTGTTAGGTTTGGGTTTGGGGTTAGGGTTGGGTTTGGAGTGAGGTTCAGGGTTA